GACTGGTGTGCAGTGGCCGCTCCCAGACACCGCAGCCTCAACCTGCTGGGCTCCAGCGATCCTTCCGCCTCAGCTTTCCAAGTAGCTGGAACTACAGGCGCGCGCTACCATACCTGGCTAATTTTTTGATTTATTGTAGAGGTGAGGTCTCGCCAAGTTGCCCAGGCGGGTCTCGAACCCGCAGGCTCAGGCAATCCTCTCACCTCAGCCTCTCAAAGTACTGAGATTACAGGCTGAGCCACCAAGCCCGGCTTGTCATTCTTATATACACACTTTATATGCACTAGAGCAGGGGTCAGCAAACTATGGTCCATGGGCCAAATCTGTCCTAGCACCTGTTTTTCTATGGCCTGAAAGTTAAGATTTTTAAAAAAACACTTTCAAGTGGTTGAAAATCAAAAATATTTTGTAAAAACTATATTACATTCAGCCATGCTCATCTGTTTCCACATTAGCTATGTCTGCTCTTGCACTAAAGTGTTGAGTAGTTGCAACAGAGACCATAAGGCCCACAAAGCCCAAGATATTTCCTTTACAGAAGTCTGCTGACCCCTAGCCTAGACACAAGTGCGTCCTTGGAGGTACTGAAGTGCTCCACTACAGATTTTTTGTCTCTGACTATACCAGGAGAAGGTGATGCAGCTGGGACAGTATTTGCAATGATCTGATAAAACAGAGACTGCTGAACATAAATGCATGAGGATTGCCTGGGATGGGATATAAATGCCTGGTGAATCTGGGAGGGCTGATCCAACCAAAGCAGTAGGAGATACGGGGTAACATACACAACCCAGTAACAAAGACAGCTCTTAGTAATTGAGCCACCCGGGTCCCTGTTGAGACCCAGTCCCAAGGAGCCTAGGGACACTTGCTGGTGATGAAGTTTGCAAATAGCAGGGAACCTGAGCAGCGTAGGTGACGCAGTGACACACAATTCTCCACTAGCACCCCATTCCTTTACTTTAATGTGTCCTCAAGTCATTCAAAATCCAGACTTACCCAGGCATCTCCAAAGAAGAGTCTGGACTTTGAATAAGAAATGGATCTGAAAGGAAGGTTCTGGAAAGTAGACCCCAGGTAAACACCCTTCTCAAATGATAACATTTCAGTGAGGACTCATAGGGGAAGAATTCAGAAGATTGCACAACCATCCACATGTTTTTTTTTTTAAGTCAAAGATCTGGTGAACATTTCATTCTTTCTCTTTTTGATCATTACTAGTATGGCAGATGGAGCAAGGTGGGATGGGGTCATGGGGAGAATTAGATAAAAATCAATAGGATGACGTGCCCTGAAAGGTATATATCTATTCCTCCCGTGCTTTCAGCTGTGGCATAAAATATTCCATGTAGACTTTGACCTAGCATGGGGCTGGGGGTAGGGAGAAAGATCAATTTGTAAGCCAAAGAGATTCATTGACTGACTATGGCAAACTTGAGAATCATGGTCAAGGTTTGCAGATGGCCTGCTCTCCTGCTGACATCCCACGGAGAGCCAGGCTTGATCTCCTGTGGTTAGATGGAATTTGTCCTGCCAGGGAGAAAAAAGTAGTTGTTGGGAGAATGGGATTTGGATGTTACAGCTCTGAAAATGTTTCTTAACTCTCAGTACCAGAGGTAAGCAAATCACCTTCTTGAGAAACTGGTAACACTGGTTGCCTCTGGGGAGTGCAACTGAGAGTGTTCAAGGGAATGCCCCCAAGTCCCTTAAAAAAAAAAACCAAACCAACACATCATTTCCCCATCTCTCCCCACCTGGCTTCTTGAGGCAAGGAAGGCAACCTGGGGCTAGAACTGGAGCAGACAGTTTTACTCAACAGCTGACGTGGGGATCTGGAAGAAGGATCCGAACACCAGGGAGAAGAGTTGCAAGCTGAGTGGAAAAACCATGGCAAGTCAAGGAGCAGCACACCAAAGGAGTCAAAAGCAGCTACTGAAGGTGTGGTCTAGGACCAGATCACATAGCACCAGGGAAACAGAGAAGCAAGAGCAAACTGGTAGAGAATAAACTGAGGTGTCTGAGAAGAGCCAAGGATGAGAGCCGGGGTGTGACGCAGGGCTGGATCTGTGACTATAGGACCAGGAGCTCAAACCAGGAGCACATGGGCAGCAAGGCACAGGCTAGGGTGAAACTTGGAGCAGAAATAACATCGATTTGGTGGGTGAGCACATAAGGAGTACTGTCACATAAGAACTCTCCTGCTTGGGGATACACCCAGATCATACTCCAGCCTTGGGTTTAGTGATTCCGAGCAGCCATGTGTGAATGGTTTGCTCTGGATGAGCAAACCATTACTTCCCCCAAATCTGAGGCATCCTGTCATCATTGATTATTTCCTGGGAAGCCTTGCAAATGGGAACTGGAGTCAAGTAGTAGTTCGACCTGACTACTACTCAGGATATGATCTAAGGTAATACCCTAAGTCCTTTTCATTACAGCCACTCAGAACCAGCTGAACTCACTTCTGATTACCTGCTTCTGGTTGCCCTGTGTCCAAACCCATCTTGGCCAACATCTGGTATCCTATACTCCAGCATGGGTACTTGGTCCAGCATAATTGGCAGGATCACTCCAGCCCTGTTCACAGAACTGGAATAAAATCCAGAGAGAAATTCTCTCGGGACCTCTGTGTTATAACAAATTGGAAACAATGCCTAGAGGTATTGTTGTGGGATCCACTGGGCCTGAGCAAAGATTAATACAGGGTTCAGGAACAAATCTGCAACAGCTAGTGTGGAGGCTTTGCTCCTGAAGTGCAGTGCCTCTAGTGGCAAGTGCTTGTGGGTAAGTCAGAGCCTCGTCTGATGCAGACTTAATGAACTTGTCATTAGATGTCCAGAAATTGCTAAGCAGGTGGAAGTCTATAAGCTGTTGCTTGGTTTAAGAGAAGATCTTATTTAGCTAGTAAGGAAGTAAACAATATTGGTTGGTAGTTGGGCTTGGTGGCTCAGCCTGTAATCCCAGCATTTTGGGAGGCCGAGGCAAGTGGATTGCCTGAGGCTGTGGGTTTGAGACCAGCCTGGGGAATCTGGCAACACCTCATCTCTACAATAAATAAAAAATTAGCCAGGCGCGGTAGAGCACACCTGTAGTTCCGGCTACTTGGAAGGTTGAAGTGGAAGGATTGCCGGAGACTAGCAGGTCGACACTGGGGTGGCCGTGAGTGTGCCACTGCACTCCAGCCAGGGTAACAGAGTGAGACTCCAACACACACACAAAAAAGCATGTTCTCATACAGTATCTTTTCTTTGTGGGACAAGGTTTAGCTTCCAAGCTACCTCAGAATTGACAGGTGTTAATGGAGAACTTGTAATTTTTGAAAGCGGGTAGAGACAACAAAAGAAAACTAAAAGTAAGTGTGTTGACTAAATACGTGTTGGGCCTCAACTATCAACCAATATTGTTTATTTCCTTACTAAATAAGAGAAGTTGTCATGCATAAAAATCCTTGGGTTAAAAAAAAAAAAAACCCTGGTCAATTCTGTGAAATGCTGTTCCCAAACTCCTGGCCCCCTGCATTCCTACCAGGCATTCTGAGATGTTTCCAGTCTATGTGGTATTACCTGAAACCCACTTGGGAAAGGTTCCATTCCATAAATCCTGGCAGAGAGGCAGGAATAGAAGAGACAAAGTTTGAACTTGTAGACTGCTTTTTGGGGTCTTACTGGAAAGTTAGAATATCAAAAGAAGCAGTTATTTATAAATCAATTCACAGACTCAGGGGAAGCTATTTATAAACTACTGGTAGAGCTGGAGGCAGAGGAGAGGAAGCACATTATTCAAACAGTTCATCTTCTGCAACACCATCATCTTCCCCTTTAGACTTTGCTATTTTAGCCAATTATGTCAATATTTTCTACTGGTGCAGGTTTGAAGCCTCAAGCTGTTTCAGTTGTCTAGGAAGCTTTCCCTGATTTCGTAACTTTTTGTCTCAACCTGCTTCATGGATCCAGTTCAAGAACCATCTCATCCATGAAGCCCATCACTCCCTGGTGATCTTGTTTTATAACTTCACACTGTCAGTCAATGCCCAGCAGTGTTCTAAAAACAGCAGGTTCTCAAAACACACTGACAATATTGGCATTAGTCACTACAAACAGGCTGCTGTGTGGGACTCAGCACGTAGATAACCGACTCTCTTAGTGCAAGGTCTAGAGAGTCTCCTGGTCTTCCTGTTCACATATCACAGCCTAGACCTGGGTCTCATGGTTTATCTTTTCTAGGATCAATCTTCCTCTTCCAGCAGAGGGGATACCCAAATGAGTGGGGGTCCAAAGCACAGGACTAGAATGAAACAAACCCAGCTCTTCAGTGAGGTGTAGGTCTGTGAGAAATCAGTACTGGTGGCCGACCCCTGAGTACTGGGGGTCTCCCACTGTCATTTGGGTCACATCAGCCCTCAGGCCCAGCACTGTGCAATATGTCAGCATGCTACTGCCTTCTGTACCATACCTCAGGTCCTGTCTGCAAAGCAGGCTGAAACTGTAAGTCTCCTTTGGGGTCCTCCCAGAAAAGCTTGCCTCCCTGGGCACAGAGATACAGATTCCAGGAGATCCTGTTTCCACTTCTCACTTGCATAATCCCCTGAGGCAGAACAAAGGAACAGGACAGCTGCAGCAAGTCCAAGTCTGGGCTGTGAAGAGATCCAAACTTGTTAAGCAAGAGAAATCAAGAGCAAGCAAGTACCAGAAGTCAACAGCCAGAAGTTCTCCAACATGACACATATGGTGGCGTGGTAAAAACTGAAAACAGGTGAGCAGCAAAAGGTGCCAAACAGCCACAGTCAAGCAGCGGCCTAGTCCTAGTTTGGCTACTTCACAATCCTCTCACCATCACCAGGGCATGAACCAGTCCTGAGCGACCCTGGTGGGAAGGCTTGTTGAAGATGAAGCCTGTAGAAGCTGGCTTGCAGGGTAGTGGATTCTGGCATGGGATACAGGCAGGGGCATTTCCCCACCAGCTTCGCCCTGGAGATGACTCCATGCTTCCAAACTTGTTACCTTTTTCCTCACACACAAGCTATTTTTCCTAGTTTTCTTTGAAAGATCAGACTGAAAGTCAAGTTTTCGAGGTGTAGGCTCATTCTTCAAAACACCCGATAGAATTTTTGCAGAAACTTTCCTCATGTTCAAGTTTTCTTTCAGAATGAGCCTAACCGTTTCTTTATCTAAATGTAACTCTTCAGCCATCATCCTCACCGTTAACTGCCTGTTTGAACAAACCAAGTCCTTGACCTTCTGGATATTTTCATCCGTCCGATGGGTGACAGGACGACCACTTCGGGCATCATCTCGAACATCTTCCCGCCCTTCTTTAAACCTTTTGTGCCAGTCAAAAACTCTGGCTCTTGACATGACTTCGTCCCCATAAGCTTCTTTTAAAAGATGGTGGGTTTCACTTGCAGACTTGCTCAATTTCACGCAAAATTTGATACTAATCCTTTGTTCTAAATAGCGGTCACTCATTTTGGCACCCAACAACACAGGCACGTTAAAAGGCCACGACTGTGAGTAAAAGACAGAGGGCTTAATCTCTATAGGACTGCAGCCATAATCATGTCGCTACTCTTGCTCTTCTAGAAGCACCAGTGGGAAAGAGTTATTGCTTTTCTGAGTGTTTGCCCTTCGGCTTCCAGTTGAGGTTAGAGAGACCCGTTCTGGGCCGCTAACAGGGCCAAAGAGCCGCCGCAAAACTGGGAAAAATTAGACCTCCTGCAACCACGTCCGCGTCCAACCAGTGCACGCAGATCGGCAGAGAGTGTGCAAATCAGTCACCAAGGTCGTCTTGATTCTGCGGCCTGAGAGTCTACAGCGATTTCTGCAATAAAGGCCTAAGTGATGGCAACTTGAGCAAGCAGGGAGAGGCGCATCGGTGATGCACGGTGCAAGTTCGCCCAGCTCTGCAGAAACCCGCGTACGCTAGACCTACCGGAGCAGCCTGGGGCTCGCCGGCTCTGGAGGCCCGGAGACAGGCCCGCATGCGCAACGCCCTCCCCTGGCGGGTCTGGCTGTGCGCAGGCGCAGTGCGGCGGCCCGCGCGGGCCCGCCCCCGCCTGGCCACACCCCGGCAGGCGCGTGCCCGCCTGCGGAGAC